ACCAAATTCGTAGGGGTCAGAACGGATTAACAGTATTTACATTGAACCTTATGGGAAAATTGGATTCGGGTCGCGACCAATTTGGGTCGCGACCAGAGTCGTGGAACAAATTAAGTTCATGACCCGAGGTACCATTGTATATTATCCTTATAGGGTAGCTGTGATACTTAGGAGTGGGGGCCCTGTGTTACCATGGTTCTCATCCTACTAGGGCAGCCAGTAAGTGGGAGGGGTCGAGCCTTGGTAGTTTCACTGTGGTAGTTTCACCTTTGATCTTTTCCCCCTATTGTTTAGCATCTATGTGAAGCCAGTGGAGGGAAGGCACCTGTCAATATGAGATGAGGTAGCATCAATATGCAAATGAACCAAGTTTACACAGCCATCTCTGGCTGAACAGGAATTTTTGTTGAGATTCTGTTTCAATACCTGGATATTCTTAAGATCTGGATAGGAAAATTTAAGATCTGTCTTAAATTTAATCCTATTAGACTTAAGGGGAACATCTGTGGGTTCACAAGCCAACTGATTCTAGAGACAGGCCATTGTTGGCTCTATACAAAGTGGTGCTCCTTGAGATGGAGCTGGTTCACAATCTGAAAGTCCTCTTGGACTCACAGCTCTTCCTAGAATAGCAGGTGAATGCTATAGGCAAGAGAGCTTTTACACAGTTACTATAATGATTGGTTCCCAGAGTGATAAACAGTTTAATTGCTAGAATTCTTATAACTCAATTCCTTTCTTCTCAATAAATCTTGCTAACAAGATTTGGTGAAAATCATGGTTGGAAAATAATAGCTGTCAAGGGCTTAACAGTTACATTTCTGTGCTGGGAATGGGAGACTTTGATCATGGTATCCCTTGTCATTTCATGTTTGGATTGTTGCCATTGTACAAGGGGCTCCCCTTGAACCTACAGTTGGTTCAGTATATGCTTAGGTTTGCCCATGTGGCACCTCTACTTTGGCAGCTGCATTGGTGGTTGTTTAGCTACCAGATGCAGCTCAAGATCCTCATTGTCACCTTTAAAGATCTACATGGTGTAGGACCTGAGTTTCTTAGAGATTACCCAATTCAAGTGGAATCAGGCATGAGAAGGGTCCTTGTACTGGGTCAGGGGCGTCACTATTAAGTAGTTCGGGCATATCATTGTTTCTGTTCTGAATATATGACAGCAGGCATTTCAATCAGTTACAAAGAAGAGAAAGAGAAGGAACAGAAGCAGCTGAGTCAACACACTAACAGGTAGGATAGAAACAGATAATCTAATAGGTAGAACTCTGAGATAGAGGCAAACAACTAAAAGAACACAAAAGCTGTGTGCTGGATAACAAACATATGGATTTAAGTAAATTGATGGATTAAGCACTGTTAAACAAGGAAAATATGTAAGGTGATCCTCAGAAAGAGTACGCGAATATATAGTTGGGAGATAGCGGAGAAAATTGGAGGAGCTCTGGAGAAATTATCTGGCTTGCTGTTTTGGTTTGTCAAGATCAAAAAAATGAGATTGAAGCGGTTGCATGTTCTCAAGCTCTATTATGCTCAATTTCTTGGTTACATGATGTGTGGCCTTATCAAACTGCCTTTTCTGAAATGAATAGCCACTGTTGTTCTGCTGTACTACTCATCCCTCCCTTATTGCTGCAATCATAATGGGGAAGATTATATGCAAGAATGCTCCAATTCTCCTCGTATGTCTTTTTTCCCAATCTTTTTGCAAGCATATTAGCCTGCCAATAAGAAATTAAGACTATGAGGAGCAGCACTATGCTGAGGAAATGATGTCAAAATGGTTCTCCTTTTAGATTTTCTTTCTATTTACATTCTCAGCAACCTAAGAGGGATTTAAGGCAGCAATGAGGTCTACCACCCAGTAATAGATTCAGCTTTCAGGTTGTTCATCACTGTCTGACTATTCTGCAGTACCTAATGGATTCACCAACCCAGAAGAGTTATATTTCCATTATCCTATCACATGTTGTCCCTTTAAAAGAATAATGTAATTTAACCACAATGTTTGGATGAACTGAGTTTTATACATATTTTAAATCTTAAATATAAGTGGGGCTTCAAAGAGAATAGGATTAGTGAATCTATTTGATAATTAAGTTAAAAAGTCTTACCGCTTGCATTTCATTAAGTTCCTTTTGATATTTTATTGCCATCTGATTAGATTTCTCCTTTTCCTGGTTAAGTTCCAACTGTAACTTTCGGTTTTCCTTCTCTTTTTTCTTGAAATCTTGCATATTTACTTTCTTTCTATCTAGTTTAAAATCTTTTCGATTCATAATCTCAGCCAATTTGTTGACGGCCTATTGCATATAAACAGGAGAAAATTAAAGTAGACACACAAAACTCTACACAAATTAACGCTGGAAAGTAAGCGGTAAATATAGAAAATATTAGAATCTAGAAATATTATTTTACTACCAGAATATTTTGTGAGAAACATCATATACTTGCTGCATTAAAGACACACCAGACAATTAATAGCTTTACTTTATGTTAATTAACATCTTCTCTTGGAAGCCATTTGATCATTTACTTTGCAAAACAATCTCAAATGTTAAAATTTCACAACAGAAAATGAACAAGTAAATAAATATATGAATCTCACATCCACCTGGAACACATTTGTGGACCTAAGTCATTTTAATTCATATGAATAATTGTGAGCTATCTAAGGAAGTGCTTTCTTATGCATGTGTGTGCCTTTGAGTCAGTACTGACTCTGGTGACTGCCTGGACAAGTCCCTGCAGTTTTCTTGGCAACATTTTTGGAAGTAGTTTGCCACTGCCTTCTTCATAAGACTGAGAGAGAGTAACTGGCCCTAAGTCACCCAGTTGGCTTCTTGACTAAAACAGAACTCACGGTCTCCCAGTTTCTAGCTTGGTTTCTAACCACTACATCAAAATGGCTCTCACAGAAGCATTAGTATACCAAAATGTTTGTCAACCTAAATATTCATAAATGTAGTAATCTGCTTTTTATTGCACCAGACCACTGATCTATCTAGTGTATCATGGTCTATCAACAGCACTTCTCAGTTTTACTTTGACATAAGTAAAGACATACGTATTACTAGGATGTACTGCCCAAAAAACACTATTTTTTTTCTTTTCTGTATCTGTACAAGGGACAACTCATTACTGATCTAAGGCAGTAACACTTTTGATTCACACTTTCTATACATGCACCTTAAATGTTAATGAGAATAATGGAATATGCTTATGTACTGTACATACATTACAATGCAAAGCTCATATTCTGAAATCACAATCAAAAGAAACGGGGTACAGGCTCCCTATTACTGATCTAATATATTTAGGCTTTTCTGCCATTGTATGAACTAAAATTCAGAAAAACAAGATTCCTTAAGGACTAAAGCACTATATTTTGAAGGACAACTCCATCCACCTTCCAAAATGCACTCACCTGTGTCTTAAGTGTCCTTTCATTGTTCAGGTTTTTTTCATACTGCATTTTAATTATGTTGAATTCTTCTTCTTTTTTGAATTTATACTCTTGTTGAAAAACAATTGAGAATTAAGAATTTGTGAAATTTTATTACATCAGAATGACATGCACTTTGGAATTTCTCTCTTATTAAATCTTAATTTAATTATTACATTATTAATTATTATTAATAAGAGCCCTGCCACTACATATTCTGTCCAGAATTATACAGGGTGGGAGATGCTTCCTATAATGCTTTCCAAAATTCAAATATGATTAAACAGACAGACAGACTTGGTTGACTTATTTTCCTAATTCATAATATAGTTTTGACTCATTGTGTTTTGTGAACCTAGCAACTGTAATCTGTAATGTTTTTAGTTTTGTACAATACATGAAACATAAACATGGTATTTAAAGCAGATGAATTACAGTTTGGCATTATGCCTAGACTAGTTATTACTTGCAATCCATCCAAAAAACCAGAATCAGTTCATTTGCTAATTAGTGTCTGTGTGCCAACTGGCACGATGTCCAAGCTGAAAAGCTAGAGTTTCTGCCATTTTTGTACTTCTAAAGTTATTATATGTATAAAAGGATGTAACAAATAATGGAAAAACAAAACAGTTCCTATAGCACATGTCTATCTCAACTCAGAAAGAAGATTTATTGTTCCAATTGTTAAATAAATACAGAATAGCAGCCTAAGTCATTATATTACTGACTCTTGAATTCTGTTTTCTGTTTGGGTTCTAATCTGTTTATAAGAGGCTTTAATTCATTTTCTATTAAAATAACTCAAAGGAAATAAAGCAATTAGAAATTAATAAAACAAAACAAAGTAAAAATACAAATTATGAAACAAAAAAAATTATGAGGGTTTATTTTTAGTAGGGCTGTCTTAACCCTTTAAACCTGCTACTCAAATTATGAAGGTGCATAACCTTATGAAGGGACAGTGAAACTGTTTCAAGAATGTTTCCACATCAGTTGAGCATGTGTGTGGACGTGAAGATGATACTCATTTCAAATACCCACTGAATGATTTTGCATAATCCTAATGTTTAATGCAAGCTATTCAATGACAGTTAATGTAGTAATGCTTTACACTTTTTGGGATCACCTTTTCTCCCTGATTAAAGAACAGAGTCCATCCCATTAAGGAGCACTGAGTCACTAGGTACAGTGGTACCTCAGGTCACGAACGCTTCTGTTCACGACCAATTTGGGTCACGAACAGCACCATTTGCAAAATTTTGCTTCCGTTCGTGAACGCCGGATCGGGTGACGAACAGGATCCGCAGGCATTTTCCCTGCCGTGACACGTGGTTGTGGCTTCCTGTAGGGAGGGGGTCTCTCCCTCCAAGCAATAACCGCCTCCCCACCTGCCTTCCTGTCCTCCACGCCAGAAGTCGCGTGGAGCAGGGTTAGTTTTCTCTCTCTTCGTACTGTACTTTGTGTCATATTTTTGTAGTTTTAAAAAAAAATACATATGGAGAGGCGGAGCTGGCG